CAGTAGTATTTTGCCTCACATTTACTCGAGGTTTATAGTTTACGAAGAGTGTTCACGTAATAACGATAATCACTGTAGGTACTGACTTCCTAACCGCAGAGCTCAGTTAACCCTGGAAACCACTCTCCCTTTCCACAGATGGAAAAGCAGAACCCCAGAGAGATTAAGGGGCTTGCTAAGGTCACACAGCCCAGGGAAAGCACAGGGTGGAACTGAACCCAGGCCCATTTGGTTTCTGCCTGCGTTCCTCCTCTCCTTTGTCCTTCTTATCTTCAGCCTGACTGAATGCATTCCAATCTGCAGAAAAACTGAGTGAGAAAAACACAAAACAAAGCAAAAACCAGAGGCTTTTGCAGAAAACAGAGGCTGAAATGCATATAAAAATAAACGCGTGTGTTCAAGGGAACCCTCAGGTCCCCAAACAATATGTTTTGTATAAGATTCTTCCTATAATGATGCAGGTGGTGGGGGGTCCAATGGGGCAGGTCGTCAGCGAGCAGAGGACTGACTTTCTAAGTTTTAGGAATGCACTGTCCAAACGGTGGCCAGGAACCACACACAGCTATTTAAATTTAATTAAAATGAAAAATTTAGTTCTTCAGTCGCACTTGCCACATTTTAAGAGCTCAATATCCGTATGTGGCCGCCCTTTTGGACAGCAGGGATCTAGAACATTTCTATTATCACAGAAAGTTCTACTGTATAGCATTGTTCTAAGCCCCCATCGAGCCTGCTCCTGTCTTATCCTGTCCTGGAGGAGGTGATAGACCCCTCTTCTAAGGTAGGTTCCTCTGTAGTCAAGGTACCTATGGTTGCCATCCCAACACCCAAGTCACTCCACTTTACTCTGGAGAGGCGACAACACAAGGGAAGCAGATAAAGGCCAAAAACTGAAGGAGTGGCCATTAACTCAGGCCGTGCTACTCAAAGTGTGGCCCAAGGACTGGCAGCATCAGCTTCTCCTGGGAGCTTGTTAGAAACACTCCATGCCAGACTCTTTGAATAAGGACCTGTGTTTTAACAAGACCCCCAGGTGATTCAGGTGCACATTTAAATTTGAGAAGCTGTGACTTAAGAGACAGGCTGAGCAGGATCAAAATATTGTCCCAAATATAGGAAACCAATCAGATATTTTTAGACACACGAAAAAATAGCATCAGCACCCTGTTCCCCCAGTAGTGTGTGATTAAACATGAGTCACAGAGGGCTGAGCATCTCTGCACCACGTGATCAATCAGCATATTTCCTAGGTTAGGCCCCTCGGGAGGAGCTGGGGGGAGCTGGCCCATTCCCCATCCCTAGCACCTTCTTAAACCAAGATGAGGTCACCTCTCCAAAGCAAAGAGAAGAGAGCTAAGACTCACATCCTGGGTCTCAGGGATGCTGCCTTTATATCAGATTTTCTATTTTTGCCTTTTCTTTCCAATGCGTCTGGCTTTGAACTTTGTAAATTGCCAAAGACACAATGCACTGTATAAAGTCAGCCTGAACAAACACACAGTCCTTTAAAGGGAAGCACCTGGCAAAGCACGGTCTCCCCTTCCCGGGGACGCGATGTCCTTCCTGCAGGCCCCCGTGCCTGGAGCCAGGTGCTAACGAAGCTTTCTGGGAAGGAACCAGCAACAAACAGATCCATGAAGAAAACAGGTGGAAGAGGTGGTTCCATCCACCAGGAGGGCAAAGATGAGGCTTAAAATGAGCCTGGCAGCACACTGCCTGCCTTCCCACCACCACCCCAGCTGGGGACAGAGAGGTCTGCTTCAGGAATGGTTCCAGAGCTCGGATTCCTCCTTCATTGTGGATGACGCACCCTTTTATTCCCCTCTCCTCTCAGCCTACCTTGGGTCTTACTTATTTTTATCCCCAGAATGGAGTTAAGTTGCCAAAAGGATGATATTTCTCCACCTGCAAGGGCCCTCCTGGAGGATGAATATTAAAATAGTCATTTTTACAACTTGCTCCCAGCAATAATGCAGAAGGCAAGAATGCTGTGGGGAGGAGTGGGGGACAGCGACATGGGCCCAGTGGGGAAGCCTGGGGCCTTGGGGAACTGCTAAATGGCTCTGCCATGAGAGACATCCCAGGAATTGACTCCAAGGGGTTGGACCGGGGAAAAGGGGAAGGGGCCAGTGTGCTTTCGTAACTCTTTATAATGCTGAGAAGAATCAAAGCCATGCCTAAGAATAGTCCTGCTGTTTTTGCCTTGTCAGCAGACAGATGTGTCGTTTTGGTAGCAAACCTCATTTTTTTCTCCAGGGAACAACCCGTTGCCCATTGCATGGGATCTTGGTGGGTCTGTCGGTCAAGATGCCTCACCCTCCCCTGGGCTGGGGCACGTGACCCAGGTCAGGCTGTTTGGAAGCTCGAGTCCTTGAATGGAGACACACAGTAGAATCTGGAGCAAATATTTGGATTCACCCGTCCTGGTGGTGGTGCCTGGGGAGGCTGCCCCCTGGTTCTTGCAACCTGGACCCCTGGCAATATCCTCTTCCCTGCCCTTCTTGAGGTCTGGCTATTCACTCTCCTGAGATTCCTTGAGCCACTCCGAGGCATTATAATACTGTATTATTATTATTAATTTTTTTGCTTAAGTTAGAAAGAGTTGGTTTCTATTATTTGTAGGTAAGAATCCAAACTGACACAAACCCAAATGCCCAGAAATCAGGGCTTAAAAGCATGATCCAGCCCACGATGGAGTACCACACAGCCAGGTACAGCAATGAGACACATGTACAGAAAAGATGTTTATAACGTGTAGTTCAGTGCAGAGCAGATTATAATAAAACAGGATGCCATAGTATGATACAATGCTTGCAAAATACACTCTGTACCATCATAGAAAAAGGCCTGGAAAAAATATAACAGTATTTATTCCGGGGCTGATGTATTCAGTATTTCCCTGATGCTGGGAAAGACTGACAGCAAAAAGAAGGGGGCAGCAGAGGATGAGATGGTTAGAGAGCATCACTGACTCAATGGACGTGAATTTGAGCAAACTCCAGGAGATAGTGGAGGACATGGCAGCCTGGCGTGCTGCAGTCCATGGGGTCTCAGACATGACTTAGTGACTGAACGACAACATTTATTCTGGAGGGTAGGAAGGGGAATGATTTTTCTTTCAGCTTACCATAAAGATATTCCTAACCGTTCTATAATATTTGTATAATAACTCTTCTGTTTTGCTTTTTAATAAAATGGGCCCAAGCAGGTGACACTTTCTTGGTGCCTGTCAAGAATGATTTGCGGGGTTCAGACAGCAACTTATTTACCAAATGCCAGGGCTCCTGCTACAGCCACAGCCCCCTTGTAGCTCTGACTACTGTTAAGAAGATGCTGGAAACGTCTGAGTCTCCACAACAGGAAGCAGCATCTCCCACAAGCCTCAGGGCACCAGCCACATTCTGCTAACGAGAACCTTATGAGGTGGAGGGTCCACCCTCTGCTTGGTGGAAAAGAGAGGTTCAGAGAGACAAGAGACCTGCCCAGGTCCCCCCAGTGGGGGTTTAAAGCCAAATCACCTGGCCCAGGGCCACAGCACCCCAGGGTGCCTCTCAAGTTCACTAACAGCCAGAATGAAGTGGCTGAGTCTGGAGACAGACTCAGAACCATCTTGTGAAGTCAGCCAGGTGGACACGCTGCCGAGGGGTGAGGGTGAGAGAGGAGATGCTCTCTCCGAGGTGCTGGGGCCTGAACTCTCTGCCCTGCAGAATGGCCGCCTCCCCGGGGTGGCGGTCACATGGAGAGCAGATCTGTGGGATACTCTTCCTTTTCAGGTCTCAGCCTGAAGGTCATCTGGTCACAGAGGCTCTTGACCCCTCCTCTAAGGTAGGTTCAGGCATCAGTGCCTCGGCCTGCTTGTCTCCTTTGGAGCGTTTCATGGAACTTTTGCAGTCATTCTGCTCCATGGTCTGTGTCTCCCTGCTTGACTGTATGCTCCCTGAGGGAGAGGCTTCTGACTGTTCCACTCACAGTTGTGGCCCCGTGTCTGGTCCCCTGCAGACACTCACCAGGTAGCTGCAGAACAATGGAATAGATGAACGCTGGACGGGGGTAGTGAGCAAAGCCTGGGGTCTGGTCTCACCTCTGCTTTTATTGGCTGTGTGACCTCGGGCATGTTGCTGCCCCTCTCTGGGTCTCTTCCAAGCCATGAAGCAAGTATAAATATCCAACTTCATTGAAAAGGTTGGCCTCACCCTTGCTGAGTTTCTTAGGACCAATGTAAGGGAAGGTAATAGAAGTTGGCATCTTTACTAAATTATACCTTAAATCAACTGCTGGTTGATTATTCTTTCTGATGATAACTTTGCAGTGGTTTCCCCACGAGTCACTGATGTGCAATGAACCCAATTGTATTTCTTATTCAATAAACTCTTTTATTGTAACTTTACAGATTTTTCCATTACAGTAATGAAAACAGCACTAGTGATTCATAACTGGCCCAAATCAAAGGGGAACTCTTTCTCAAATTATAAGATAAATGACACATAATTGAACATATAGTAAATGTTGGGCAAAAGGAATTCAAAACATAGAAAATGGGGTCAAGATTTTGTATGTTTGTGTATGTGACTGCAAACACTTTAAGGTTTAGTTTATCAGGATGACAGCATTTTTGAAAGCACATGATTTTGAAAACTATACTTATAATCTGTGATAAAAACACAACTGTAGAGAAAAGGCAAAATCAAGCAAAACCCAATAAACCGCCAAAAGGAAAGGAAGTGAATCAAATCCATGAGGCTGCAACGCAAACCTCCGGTGCTTTGGCCCTGGAATGGCGAGAGAGCCGGCTTCACAGAAATTCTCTGTGGAAAGGAATGTCTGGGCCTGGTGTGACATCTCCGCGTCTCCAAGTCCTGTCTCCTCACAGAGGAAAAGAAGTTGCTCGTCCAACACATCGGCTGGGTCTGCTGGGCAGGGGCCCACGTTCCCAATCCGTTTGAGAACAACCCCCAAATCTAGAAGAGGTGACCCGGGAGCGGCAGGGATCCGGGTGGGCGTCAGCCCCCGCCCCGGCCGGAGCTGTCCGAGTGGTTCACAGGGAGTGGGTGGGCCTCTGTGTTGAATACCCAGTCTTCCAGGGAGAGCATGTCATCTTCAGAGAACAGAAGATAGAGATACCTGTGTCCAGCGGGGAGGGAGCAAGACAGCCTGTCAGTGCTCTGGGGAAGGGGGATCTACTGTGAACAGAGCTCAGAGAGCGGGGGGTGGGGGGGGCCCTCCGGGACAGGCCTGTGCCCAAGGGGCAGGGAGGTCGCAGACCCCAAATCTGTCCAGAGTGCCCATCCCTGAGAAGGAGCTGTGGATGCCAGGGGGCACATCGAGCTTTAGGCCAGATGGAGCTGCTTCATCCTGCCTCTGCCCCCAGCCCCCACTCTGTACCTCCCCCCAAACCAGCTTCCCCTGCTGGAAGGAGCAGACCATTCCCATCCATCCTGAAGGGCTAAAGCACAAGGGACCTGCTTTAGGAAGCCGCGAGGAAATGGAGGCCAACTTCCACCCTGGAAAGGAGAGGATGGCGCAACGGCTGAACTCCTGTGGTAACTGGTACCGACATCATCCTGGTGATTACTCTGCCCGTTTTACAGAGGACTCAAGTAACAGGTTGAAGCAGTTCACTTCTCACACAGCTAATGCCTGTGTCCATGGAGTCCGGCCCACCTCACTCTGCATGGAGAAACTGGCCTGGCCCAGGGCCCCGATCCTGAGTGAGACAACCCCCTGGTTCCCAAGCCCCCATCCCTCCTGGGCGCCCTCCTGGGACGGCAGAACCTGACTGATGGTGATGGTGGAGCCTGCCCCTCCCGCCTGTTCCCTGCCTCCCTAAGAAAAGATGTAGCTGCCTTCTGGAAAGAACTCTGGCCAAGCCCCCGACTCACTTTAGAGTCTCCGCCAGAAAGAACGTCTGCTGCTTGTTGTCGTGGTTGGGAACCTTACTGTACACGTCCTGGATCCCAGAGAACCCAGCTTCCGTCCGACAGTATTTCTCCAAGGCCTGAAGGAATGGAAGGCAGACTTGATATGGGGAGAGGAAAGGTCTCCCCAAGACTCACGCCTGCCCAGTTCTTTAACAGGCATGCGCCACCCCCCTTCAGCTGGCGACTGCAGCATTTGTGGGAGCAGCAGGCCAACTTCCTCTCTCGGGGTTCAGCTGCCCTGCATGAGCAGGCTCCCGGGGCCCTGCCTGGGAACTCAGAGGAAGCTTTTCTGCCTCTCAGAGAACTAGACTGGCCTGACAGACTCCCTCACAGTGGCGGACAGAGGGCAGGGAAGGGGCCGGTGATGTTCCTGGCCTGGGATATGGGGACTGGACTTGGCTCGCCCCAGGGATTCCCTGCAGAGATGTGGTCCTTGGGCCAGAGGCTGTGTCCGCCTTCTGCACAGAAATGCAAGGTTGACCCACTGAGCATCTATGGGTGGGGCCCAGGGGGACAAAACACGTGGCCTTCAATGGTCAAGAACTAGGGTTCTCAGAAAAGGAGGGGGGCTCTGGCCAGTGCAGCGTGTCCGTGGGTCTAAGCAGGTCCTGCCCTCTGGCAGAACATGTGCTCTAGGTGGTCTGGGCCCCCCAGGGCAGTGGGCCAGGGCAGAACAACAGAGGGAGCTCAGCATCCATCCAGGAATCTTCTGGAGTCCCCACCCCTGCCTCTGACACCTACCCCAAAGAGGGGACGGATTAGAGGAGCAGAACCCAGAGAGGGGGAAGCCCAGGGCTGGGCTGGCTTTGGGGAGAGGAGGCAGGTGAGCTGGCAGCCTGCTCCTGTTTGAGAGGAGAGATGGAGAGCCACCTGTCCAGGCTTCAGGGTCAGAAGGCGGTGACCCTGTGTGTGCTGGGCCGCCTCTGGCTGAAATCCTGCGTTCGCCCCTCCAAATCTGCTGACGCTACTCGGCACTCAGCCCTCTTCACAAGCTCCAGGCCTGCTTTGCCTGGCCGGTGACTCTTGGCCCTGCAACCCAACCTTGACCCTTGGCACTCTCAGCCTTAGCCAGATGCCAGCCTGGTTGGCCCTTCCTCTGGGTTTTGGACCCTGGCTGTGGTCAGCGGCCCCTGCCACCAGTCCACCACCCCCTGCCACTCACCATCACCACTTCCCAGCCCCACTCCCTGTAGATGGGGTCGTGGGTCTGCCGCCACAGGTACATGTAGCTCTCCACCACCTCCGGCCGTAGGATGTAGTAGCTCTCGCTCGTCTGCGTGGCCACGGCCTCTCTGCCCGAGTTAAACCAGAAGGCCTCGGGCCCCAGTTTGGTATCTGTGGGGAAATGACCAACCAGAAGCCTGGGTCAGACCTCCCATCTCCTTGCTCTTCAGGACCCTGCTGCCCCAGGACAGATGGAAGCCTCTGGAAGCCCTGGCCGGGACTGGTTGGTGATGGATTGGCACGGGCTGGCCTGATTTGCCCGATAAGCTGCCTGGCAGAGGTATAGCTCCCCTCTTGGCCTAAGTTGGCCAAAGCAAGACCCTTAGGCCTTGAAACATTGGCCGTTTTAGACCCTGAGAATCCAAACAAACATCCCAGCAGTTCAGCGAGACAAAAGTTTGGGTGGTGTGCCCCCCACTGTGTATTTTAAGACCTTAGTCCTGCTAAGATGTTAACCGGAGCTCAGTCAAGAAATGGTTGCAGGTTTAAGCACATTTGGGGAACAGTGGGTTAAAACTAAGTAAAAGTATCTTGTCTGCCGACCCTTCTTTAACTTGCTAATGCAATGATGCTTCTCCATTGCCAGCCCCCCACTCCCCACCCCACCCCACCTTCTCTGGGAACCACTTCTGACACTTTCCAGAACCGCCCTTCCAGAGCTGACGGTTTGCGAGACTGCTGAGGTGGAGATGAGGGAAGATTTGCCCAGAAGGCATACATATTCAGGCAGAGGGAGCTGAATAAAGAAGGCCTGCTGAGGTCTGGGTTTTGCTGTCCTTGTCTGCTTTTGGTCAATTTGCTGCTGTTCCTATTTTCTTATAACCACCACTGCAGCCACCGTGGATGAGTTCAAGGGCTGGGCTGGGCGCTTGACATTCATTTCAATCCTTAAAGAAAATGTTGCTTTGGTTAAGGCAGATATTATCTGCCTCTCATGCATGTGGAAAATGAGGATCAGAGAGGCTATGTGAATTGTTCAAGTTAACACGGCAAGCTGTGGCTGAGCTGGGGTGTGACCCCGGATCCGTCTGATGCCCTTTCCCCAGGCCGTCCTCTCTCTCTCTTTCTCTCCTGGGTCCGGCTGTCTAGGTCCAAAATTTAGGGGATGTGGGTCAGATCATCTTCCCTTTAATGCCTGCCCATCCTGTCTGGTCAGCGAAGGGCCCTGCTCTGGTCCTAACGTGGCCCTCCCCACCTCCCCTGAGGGCTCAGGACCCCTAGACGCTCTGGGCTGCTTTTTCTCAGGGACAGATTGGAGCTTTGCAGGACATCCTACTCATTCATGGAGGGCTTCACGGAAGAGGAATTAGGCAGACCCTGGCCCCTCCAATCCTCTCAAGTGGTGGAGCCGCTCATGGTCATCAGAACCCAGGCATTTTGCCAGGCTGCCAAAGGGGCGAGGGTGAGAGTGACCACGGCAGCCATCTGCGGCGGAGTCGGGCTGGCTGCAACAACATGCTCGATCAAGTGGACTGTCTTTTATGGTCTGGGCTGATTGTCCCCAACAAATAGCAAGCTTTTTATCATTCCTGAGATTTCCTGTTTGTTTACGGTGCTGACAGAGGCAGCTCTTTGAAGAGAACTGAAGACCAGTTTTAAGGACCCACTGGGAATCGCTGGCCTCCTGAATACAGCCCCAGGAGCTCTGGATTCCACTGTTGGACTCACACACTCGTCTTAGGTGGACCATTAACAAACGTCTCCCACAATGCTGGCTGAAGGTGCAGGCTGAATACTTTCCATGGGGCCTAGGAGACCTGTGTTATGTTCCCATTGAACAGATGAGAAAACAGAGGCCACCAGCTGGGTGAGTGGCAGAGTGGCACCCAAGCCAGGATTTTTTTTTTTTTTTTTACTGCAAATCTTGCGTGGGTCCTCTCCTCCAACCAAAGCTGGGATTACAACTCAGAGCAGTGGGCCCCTTTTGGGGTCCCGGGGTGGGCATCAGAAGACCTGGGTTCCAGCCCCACTGAGCTACTCAGGCGCAGCGTGGCTTTGGCTTAGCCACTGTTTCCCCACCTGTACAATGAGGAGGTGGGTTCATGGTCACTAACGGCGGCTTCTGAGTCTAAAGTTTGGCAGTTCTGCCCTGAGGGCTGGCGGGAATGGTGCAGAAGCTCTTGACCTTCCCCGGGGTTCTTGGATCAGAAGGTGATTATGCAGGTGGTGCCAGGAAGTGGTGAGACCCTCTAAATAGGAGGATTCCAGGGAGGAAAGACAGGGTACGTTGCAGGGTAGGGGCTCAGGGAGAAGCAATTTGCTAGGCTCAGGAAAGTGAACGCTTCCAGCTCTGTGCCCCTCATGTGGGAACTTGGCTGGGTCACCTCTGAGCCTCAGTTTCCTCATCTGTGCTGTGAGGGTCAGCAATGATGGGTGTCGAGTACTTAATGATACCTGGCACAGGCAAAGTGCTTAACACAACACTGTGTTCCGTGTAACTGAGGACCGTCTTGGTGTATGGATAGCACACCCCTCATTCAAATTCTGCGTAACCCCTAAGGCGAGCCAACCCTAAGTCCATGCGTTCCCTTCACTCACTGCCACTCTCCTGGTCTTTCCAGTTCTTCCTGCTGTCTAGCCTCAGTCTTTCCTGCTGCCCCTTCCCCTTGCAGGGTTACCTGAGCGGGCGTACGACTCGTGGCACGTCTTGGTGATCTGGGCTGCGAGCTCTCGGTAGTGGGCCCTCTTTTCTTCCTTGGCATCCTCAGCGCCAAGGGCGATCATGCCCCCGGAGAAACAGGCCAGGTGCCCCATCTTGTGGTCCAGGATCCCCCCTCGCCACTCGGCGATGTAGGTCAGCCCCCCGGGAGAGACATTCACCAAGTGGGTCTCTATTGCCTGGGAGCAAGGTGGGAATCGGGCAGGGAGGAAGGGCGAGGGAGGGCGCAGAGAAGGGAAGGGAGAGGACGGAAAGTGAACATTTTGGAGAGCGAACATTTTGGAGATGCAGCAAGCGCAATTTGCAATTCGAGCCCTCCATCCCAGACAAACAGGGCCTGCTGACCTTGGCTGGGGGTGGTCCCGGGCGGGACTGGCGGGGGTTTCTGCCACTCACTCAGCTGAGGCCTGCTGCTTGCTGGGGCAGGGTGGGGGGCTTGGGCACAAGGCAGCTCCCCAGGGTGAGTCTCTTATACAGATTTTTAAAAATCCTTTACGTTCAAACATTTTTAGAAAAGAATCTTTAAAAATTATTATCATTCTCCATTATATTCTCTGTTTCCTGCATTGCAGGCAGATTCTTTACCAGCTGAGCCGCAAGGGAAGCCCATATCCTCTGTTAAGGAATCTTAACCTGAAGCCTGGATGGCCTGTGGATGGGCTCAAGGCGGTCCAGAATTCCCCTAATATTGTATGTGACACTTTAGAGCATTTTCAAGGGAAGAGGATCAGTTATATTTGATCAGATTCTCAAAAGGGTCCACAGACAATGAGAGCTGCCCCCTGCAAGCCCTGAACAGAGGCTTTCTCACTTAATGCCCACAATAAGCCAGGCACAGTGGTCGAGCGGCTTGTCCCAGGTTTCCCACCACACCAGGGTCAGGACAAGGACCCCTACATGCCCACATCTGAGTCCTCCCATGACCTGACAGCTGCTCCTCTTGGTGACAAGGGGCTTTCAGAGTTCCTCGCTGTTCCCCCAAGAGGTGACGCTGTTGGGGAAAGACTCCCAGGATACTGGCGGGGGGGGGTGTAGGTGTCAGGCCATCACACCCCCGACTTCCTGCCGTTAGTCCCTGGGACTCCAGGAGCCCTGGAGACGGAGGTGATGATGGCAGCCACCCACACAGCGCAGGGCTGCACTCAATGGGTCCTGCTCCAGGGTAGAGCCTTTGGGGGCCTGGCCAGGCCTCTGCCTCCACTGGTCCTCTCCCCTCTATTCTCTGGGGTGGGATGGGGGGTGGATCTTTGTACTCGGTAAATAGCGCATGTGTCTGCATCTTGGGCCTGTTTAATGCTCGCCCATGGTTTCCAAGTGCCCTAAGTCCAGCAGGGCCTCCGAGACTGTGATCTACACCCTGAGGTTTAACCTAACGCCAGGGACATGGCTCCCAGGTGTAGGCTCCGGTTCAAACTGCATCTTCACCAGCCCCAAGCCGTGTGACACTGGGCAGACTCTCTGTTCTCTCTGTGCCTCAATTTCTTCATGTATAAGACAGGGGTGAGAGCACGAGCCACTTCACAGGGTTAGGAGGGTTCAATGTGATGTGTCTGCAGAGCTTAGCACGTTTCTTCGGGCAGAGAGGCCTTAATAAAGAGGCCTCTGGCAACTGGCTACCTCCAGCTCTGCCGCTTCCTTGGCAAGAATGCCGCTTTTGAAACCATGGCGGCCCCACCATTCTACCACCCTGTTATCTCTCTATGCAGTGCTGGCCCCACGTGCCTGCTCCTATTTGTATAAGATTCTATGGGACATCTGCCTGCATCCCAGGGCTCTGAGCGCCAGGTGATGGCAGAAGCCACCATCGTCAACCACCAGCCAGTGTCTGGCACAGGGGAGGTGCTCAGACAACATTTGTTCCTTGATCTGTTTTTCTTTGCCAGAAAAAGCAGAGAGGCTGGCAATTATGACTCCTCTCCAGTCTGCCCTCCGGCCTCGCCCACTCCCTTCCTCCCCTTCCCCCACCCTGGCCATGCCTTGTGCCCCGTCCCAGCCCCCAAGACATTTGTGAGTGCTCTCAGTGCCAGCGCTGTGCTCCCTGCAGGGGCTACAGCCCAGAAGATGGGCCTGGGCCCCAGGGAGCTCACCCGTGGGCACAGAGGCTTCCCAACAAAAGCAAATAAGCCTGAGAATCCTGACTTGTGATCATCATTTGAATAAAACAAGGGGATGAGACAGAAAAAAGCTTGGGGAGGGGGGGTGGTCCTATGCTGCAGAGTGAGGTCAGAGACAGTTTCAACGCTGGTGACTTCCACCAAGACCTTTTCTTCCTGCCTCGGGCTTTGTTGCACCTGCTGTTTCTCCAGCCCCAACTTGCTACCTCCAGCTCTGCCGCTTCCTCGGTGAGAATACCCACGTTGAAACCACGGCGGCCCCATCATTCTACCACCCTGTTATCTCTCTATGCGGTGCTGGCCCCATGTGCCTGCTCCTGTTTGTATACGATTCTATGGGACATCTGTCTGCATCCCAGGGCTCTGAGCGCCAGGTGATGGCAGAAGCCACCATCGTCAACCCCCAGCCAGTGGCTGGAGCAGGGGAGGTACTCAGACATCATTTGTTCCTTGATCTGCTTTTTTTTTGCCCTCCGCTGTCAGGCCCAGGCTGGTGGGCTGGCAGCAGGACCCTCGCTGAGCAGCAGATGGGGAAGCTCTGATGATGTGACTGACGCGACAGGGCACTACTCTCCTTGGGAGGAGCACTGGGGAGACCTGCAGGGCTGCAGGGCCCCGACTCCTGGGCAGAGCTGGGAGTGGAGCACCGCAGCTGCTGTGGAGCGTGCTGGTGCAGGGAGGGGCAGCAGGGCTAGTCCTGAGTGCAGAACCCTGGTTCAGTTACCCACTGTCAACAATTGGGAGAGCATCCAGACATCCAGGGAGATCCTAGGAAGCTTCGCACTGCAACTGGAAATCTGCACCTTTAAGACTGTCTCCCATCGGTTAACCTGGAGACTTTCATGGAGAGAGGAGCCAGGTAGGCTACAGTCCATGGGGTCGCAAAGAGTTGGACATGATGGAGCGATGAACACTTTCACTTTCACCACACTAAGTAACTGTGGTAAAGAGTGAAAAGGTCGGCCAGTCTCTCTCTGAGGGTATAACTGAGACAAGTAAATGTAACGGTGAAAAGGCAAAGCCCAGCGCTTTCTAAAACCCTAAGCAAAACAAGAGACAGCACAGTCTGGCAACTGACCGGTAGAAAGGCTAAAATCATAGCAAGAGACAGAGCAAAGAGCTGAGTTTGAACCCCAGCTCTGCAGTCTGAGAGTTGCATGACTTTGGGCAAGTTGCTTTCCTTTTCTGAAGACTCTCTTTCATCATCTGTAAAACGGGAACAAAACTTCCTGGATGGTTACGAAGCCGCTCAAAGACTCTGGCTGAGCACTGGCAGCTCCTTCCTTTGCCTCCTGGAGGGCACCCTGTCTGCAACCCCCTGCGGCGGTGGTCAGACCAGCCAGGATCCCTGTGATTTGGCAGCTGGTAAGTGGAGGATCTGGAGTCAGTGAGACCTGTGTTTGAGCCTTGGCTGTGACACTTGCTGCTGGGGGCCTTGGGCCTTTCTTTTTTTAAAATTAATTTATTTTTTAATCGAAGGGTAACTGCTTTTCAGTATTTTGTTGTTCTCTGCCAAATATCAACATGAATCAGCCATAGGTATACATATGTCCCATCCCTCTTGAACCTCCCATCTCCCTCCCCATCCCACCCCTCTAGGTTTTTGCAGAGCCCCTGTTTGAGTTCCCTGAGTCAAACGACAAATTCCCATTGGCTATCTATTTTACATATGGTAATGTAAAGTAATGTTCAAGTTTTGAGCTAGCAAAATTGAACTATCAAAGTAAAATTTTTGCTAAGTAAAGTAAAATTTAATATAGTAAAAAAGTAAAATTTAGAAAAAAACTGAGCTAGTAAAGTAATGCTCAAAATTCTCCAAGCCAGGCTTCAACAGTATGTGAACCGTGAACTTCCAGATGTTCAAGCTGGATTTAGAAAAGGCAGAGGAACCAGAGATCAAATTTCCAACATCCACTGGATCATTGAAAAAGCAAGAGAGTTGCAGAAAAACATCTATTTCTGCTTTATTAACTATGCCAAAGCCTTTGACTGTGTGGATTACAACAAACTGTGGAAAATTCTGAAAGAGATGGGAATACCAGATCACCTGACCTGCCTATTGAGAAACCTGTAGGCAGGTCAGGAAGCAACAGTTAGAACTGGACATGCAACAACATACTGGTTCCAAATAAGGAAAGGAGTATGTCAAGGCTGTATCTTGTCACTCTGCTTATTTAACTTATACGCAGAGTACATCATGAGAAACACTGGGCTGGATGAAGCACAAGCTGGAATCAAGATTGCCGGGAGAAATATCAATAACCTCAGACATGCAGATGATACCACTTATGGCAGAAAGAGAAGAAGAACTAAAGACCCTCTTGATGAAAGTGAAAGAGGAGAGTGAAAAAGTTGGCTTAAAGCTCAACATTCAGAAAACTAAGATCATGGCATCTGGTCCCATCACTTCATGGCAAACAGATGGGTAAACACTGGAAACAGTGACAGACTTTATTTTTGGGGGCTCCAAAATCACTGCAGATGGTGACTGCCACCATGAAATTAAAAGACACTTACTCTTTGGAAGGAAAGTTATAACCAACCTAGACAGCATATTAAAAAGCAGAGACATTACTTTGCCAACAAAGGTCTATCTAGTCAAAGCTATGGTTTTTCCAGTGGTCATGTCTGGATGTGAGAGTTGGACTATAAAGAAGTCTGAGTGCCGAAGAATTGATGCTTTTGAACTGTGGTGTTGGAGAAGACTCTTGAAAGTCCCTTGGACTGCAAGGAGATCCAACCAGTCCATCCTAAAGGAGATCAGTCCTGGTTGTTCATTGGAAGGACTGATGCTGAAGCTGAAACCCCAATACTTTGGCCACCTGATGTGAAGAGCTGACTCATTTGAAAAGCCCCTGATGTTGGAAAAGATTGAAGGCAGGAGAAGGGGAAGGCAGAGGATGAGATGGTTGGATGGCATCACCGAATCAATGGACATGAGTTTGAGTAAGCTCCAGGAGTTGGTGATAGACAGGGAAGCCTGGCGTGCTGCAGTCTATGGGGTCGCAGAGTAGGACACGATTGATCAAACTGAATGTAAGTTTCCATGTTACTCTCCCCATACATTTTACCCTCTCCTTCCTCCTCCAGACCTTGGGGTTTTCTAAGCCTCAGTTTCATGACCTGTAAGAAGGGGACTAAATAAGGCCAGGCATCCAGCACAGATGCCTGGAGGAGACCACAGGACAGAAACTCCCTGTTCTTCCTGTTGTGCCTCCTCTTGATCCCCAGGGGTGTGCCTGCCTGCCTGTCTGAAACCCCCCTGCCCCCAAGCCCACCCTAGCAGGACACTGGTCTGACCTGCACATTGGAGGTCCTGAGGCAGCTTTCACAGTGGTTGCCTGGGCCCCAACTCAGAGCTTTAAAGTAACCTTGTTGGGGTGCAGCCTGGGCACAGGGATTTTACACCTCCCCAAGTGATTTTTAACATGCCAACAAGGTTGACAACCACAAGAACATTTCTTCAAAGCCCTAAACTCGCCAGAGGCCCAGCCTTTACCCGGGGTCAGAGACACTGCAGGCTCTTCATTGGGGAGATCAAATGCCGGAGCAAAGCTGAGTTCTCTCCTGTTCAATCAAGTGTTTCTATAAAGCTCCCCGTTTGCTTAAATAATTCATGGCCATTTCTTCCCTTGAAGCCTCAACTACAGGGTGCCCCGAGGGCTGGGAACCGGGCTGCTCGTTAACTTTTCTGTTTATTCTGCAAGGAAGGCAGGAAGGGCCTCTTAGGCAGCCCTGCTGGACCTTACCGCTAATCCTTGACAGATGCTGCAGGCTGCAGATGCAGCTCAGCCCAGAAACTCGGAGGGACGGGGCTGAGCCAGACTGAGCTGGGACTGGAGTCCCGGGACCTGTTTCATGACTGAGGTCTTGGCGCTGGGGATCTGGGCAGGGGAAATTCAACACTGAGCCCACAGTTTTAAGGGGTCCACGGCTCTGGAGGGCTGTTCCAGTGTGTTTCCTTGAAGGACTACCATTCCTGGCCAGATTCAAGTGATCAGAGCGTAGTTAGATGTCATTCATCCATCCAACCGCTGCCCACACACATTCATCCACCTATATCCACCCATCCAGCCACCCGCTCACACACCTTTCCTCCCTCCCTTCCTCCCCCCATCCCTCCACCCACCTATCCATCCATTCAGTCATCCATCTGTCCCTCCTTCCTTTCTTCCCGTCCTCCCTCTATCCATTTATTTGCTCACAAGATAGTGACTGCATGCCCCTAGGTACAAGCGCTGTTTTGGGAGTGAAACACACAGTGAATGAGTATACAAGGCCCTTGTACTAGACAGCCAGGAAGAGAGACCATAAACAAGAGAACAGGTAACACACATGTGATCATTTTAGATGGTGATAAAGGTAGAGACGACTGATAATGAGCCTGAGGTATGTGAGAGAGAGAGAGGCCGGGGAAGGCTGATTCTGTGGCTTTTGAATTGACCAGCAGGCAGGACCCAGCCACGTGAATCATAGTCCAGGTAGGAGGGGAGCAGGTACTAGAGCTCTGAAGTGGGAATGAGCTGGTGTGCCTGAGGAAGGCTGGGGACCAGAGCTCAAAGGGCAAGGGGGACGGAGAGAGGTCAGGGTGATTGGCAGGCCTAGGTCAGGGACTGTGGGCAAAGGCGAGAAGCCTGGTTTATTCCAAGTGCTGAGCAGCTGTGCGGGGAGGGACATGCACTTACAGCTACTGGGGCTGCTGTGGAAGGACTGACTTAGAGTGGGGAGGGGTAAGCAAGGAATCCAGGTAGCTTCGACCAAGGTGGGAGCAGAAAAGATCCAATGTACTCAATGTACTTTATGAGGAAACTGAGGCCCCTGCCTTTTCTTTCGTTGGGCTCAAAGGTATCTTATCAGTGAGCTGCTGGGTTCCAACCCGCTTCAGAATAGCCTAGGCTAACTGGCTGCCCATCAGTCCCACGGTCTCTGCCCCTTTGGCCCATCTGAGCCTAGCATCCTTGTTCACACCATGCCACGTGAACTGACCGGCTGAGAGACAGTGGGGAGAGCCTGGGGGGTTGGCTTTGGAGACCTGCTTTTAGCTGGAGTTCTGCCCCTTCTGTGCTGTGTGACGCTGAGCCGGTGCCTTCCCCTCTCTGGGCCCGGAGTCCATCCGTGTCAAGAGAAGGAACAGAATGGGATGCTCCACTGGGGGAGGCTCCTCCCAGCTTGGATGTGCTAATTATGTCCCCTGTTTCAGCCGGAAGATGGCTGAGGGTCTTGCTTTGGCCGCCTCCCTTGGGGCCCCTGTGTTCTGGGTTCTGACACAGCAGGAGCGCAGACCCTGCTGCGGTTTCCGTATCAGGCTCCCTGCTGCTTCCCCTGAGGCCTCGGACAAATGACTTCATCGCCTTCAGCCTGGGTTTTGCATTTGTAAAACGAGGGGGCTGACAAGGCCCTGATTTCAAGGTGTTTGAGAAGAGTCACAGACAGGGTGTGCAGAGCGACAGGCTGGCGAGGGGACAGTCTCAGGGTTCCTGCTCGCCGTGGGGTGCAGGGGTAGGCAGAGGTGGGTGGGGGGCAGGCTCCCAGCTCTCAGGGACCCTCGGGGAACTGGTGGCGAGTGACCAAACCACCCATGCAGAGTCAGGAGCCTGTCTTACCTCCAAGGCTTCGTAGTACATATCTTTAGCTTCCATATCTGTTTTGGCCGACATCAGCCAGGACTTGATCAAATATTCATAAAAACTGTCCCCGAGTCCTCCAACCGAGACGTGGTCTGTGAGGGGAGAGAGGACAGGAATATCATCACCACCGGCTGCAGGCAGGACTCACCGGGTGAGCTCAGCGGGGAGTGTGCATTTAATCCCTGGCCTTGGAGACCCCAGCAGAACGGTTCAGGGGTGCCAGGAGAAAGGCGTGGCCTGCGACTGGGGGCCACCGGGGCAGCTTGAGCTCGATGGTCCCACACAAAAGCGCAGGGGCTCCTCTGGCTGCTATAAATCATGTCGTTTAGCAGGCGGAGGATGGCAGGGCTGCTGGTTATTAACTGTAAATGAGTTGCATTTCTTTAAAAAGATAATCTGGTGGCAGGGAGTTCAGAGATTTTTTATTACCCGGTGCCAAACATGGTAATTAATGCTGGGCAGGTTCATAAAAGGCCACGGGAAGGAGGAATGAGAGGCTTAATTTAGTCGGTCAGAGCGCACAGCTATTCTGAAAAAGCCAGGTTTAAATTTAGCCAATTGGGACGAAGAGAGTTCAAAGGAGCAGGGGGAGGAAAAACGGGGTTGGAGGACCTCTCCGTCTGCCCTGGGGGAGCAGGACCTCCAGGCGTGGCTGGACGAGCAGGTGTCCCCATGCAGGGCAGCTCCGAGAGAGTGAAAACTGACAGAGGAGCACTTAATTACAGAAGCAAAAGCACACTCCTCCCCCATTAACAGGCAACATCAAGGCATTTAGTAGATACGACAAGGAGCGAACTGCGGGTCCTGGTTAAGCAGGGAGACAGAGAGAGGAAGGAAAGGGGCTGGATGAAGGCTGCTGCTGCTGCTAAGTCGCTTCAGTCGTGTCCAACTCTGTGCGACCCCATAGACGGCAGCCCACCAGGCTCCCCCGTCCCTGGGATTCTCCAGGCAAGAACACTGGAGTGGGTTGCCATTTCCTTCTCCAATGCATGAAAGTGAAATGTGGAAGTAAAGTCACTCAGTCATGTCTGACTCTTAGCGACCTCACTGACTGCAGCCTACCAGGCTCCTCCGTCCACGAGATTTTCCAGGCAAGAGTACTGGAGTGGGGTGCCATTGCCTTCTCCTGGATGAAGGCAGAGTGTGGGAAATGGAAAGAGGATTTTCAGCTCCTCTGGAGAAAGAGGGGGCCGAAAGAGAGAAGGGAGGGGAAGGGGGTGGGGGCAAGCACGGCTCAGGCCATCTCCCAGGTTCGCCCCACCTGGAAAGGCTTTCCTCTGTGTCCCCACAGGGGGCCATGAGGATGGGGGGTGGGGGGAAATGCGGCCGCTGTGGCCTCTGGCCCGGGCCTCCCTGCGGCAGGCGCTGGGTGACAGCGGCCCCCCACCATTGCTGGGAGCTGTATCGTCAGGATGTCTGTGGGTCTGCCTCCCCCGCTAGGCTGTGGGCCGTGTGGGGAGGGACCATGGGACATTCCACGGCACACAGCGGACGCCCCAGTGGGCCCCGAGTGAGAGAAAGGCGAGCAGATTTGGGCTGTGCTGGGAAGGACCTTGAAGGTCACGCCAAAGAGGCTGGACTTCATCATGTGGGTGCAGAGCGTGGGTGAGCGACGAGGCCCAGGGCTTCACCTGGCAGGTGTGTGTGGGAGAGGGGAGCCAGGTCAGCAGGTGTCCCACAGTTGTTTGAGACGGGACCACCCCCTTGGGATGTGCGTAGAGTTTCACAGGGCCTTGGCTGCAGTGCATAGTTCTCATCTGGAGGTCCTGCTGCTTTCTAGGCTGTGTGTGTGTGATGTGTGTGTGATGTGTGATGTATGTGTCTGGGCGATGTGTGTGGGTGACGTCTGTGATGTATGTGGTGTGTGATGTGTGTGTGTGACTGTGTGTGTGATGTGTGATGTATGTGTCTGGGCGATGTGTGTGATGTGTCTGTGTGGGCGATATGTGTATATGATGTATGTGATGTGTGATGTGTGTGTGTGTGTGATGTATGTGTCTGGGTGATGTGTGTGGGTGATGTGTGTGATATATGTGGTGTGTGATGTGTGTGTGTGATTGTGTGTGTGATGTGTGTGTGGGCAATGTGTGTGTGTGATGTGTGTGTGATATGTGTGATGTGTGTGTGATGTATGTGATGTGTGATGTGTGTGTAATGTGTGTGGGTGATGTGTGTGATGTGATGTGTGATGTGTGATGTGAATGATGTATGATGTGTGTGAGTGTCTGGGCAGTGTGTGTGTGTGATGTATGGGATATGTGATGTGTGTGATGTGTGTGTGTGTAATGTGTGTGGGTGATGTGTGTGATGTGTGATGTGTGTGGGTGTCTGGGCAATGTGTGTGTTGTGACTGTGATGTGTGTGTGTTGTGAGTGTGATGTATGTGATGTGTGATGTGTGTGATGTGTGATGTGTGTGATGTGTGATGTGTGTGTGTGATGTATGTGATGAGTGATGTATGTGATGTGTCTGGGCGATGTGTGTGTGTGATGTATGTGATGTGTGATGTGTGTGTGTTGTGAGTGTGATGTGTGTGTAATGTGTGTGGGTGATGTGTGTGTGATGTGTGTGATGTGTGTGTGAGATGTATGTGATGAGTGATGTGTGTGATGTGTGTGATGTGCGTGTAATGTGTGTGGGTGATGTGTGATGTGTGTGTTGTGAGTGTGATGTGTGTGTTGTGAGTGTGATGTGTGTGTAATGTGTGTGGGTGATGCGTGTGATGTATGTGATGTGTGTGTGATGTGTGTGATATGTGTGTGTGATGTATGTGATGAGTGATGTGTGTGATGTGTGATGTGTGTATGTGATGTATGATGTATGTGATGTGTATGTGATGTGTGTGTGTGATGTGTGTAATGTGTGTGGGTGATGTGTGTGTGTGATGTATGTGATGTGTGATGTGTGTGATGTGTCTGGGCAATGTGTGTGTGTGATATATGTGATGTGTGATGTGTGTGTGTTGTGAGTGTGATGTGTGTGTAATGTGTGTGGGTGATGTGTGTGATGTATGTGATGTGTGATGTGTGTGTGATGTGTGTGATATGTGTGTGTGATGTATGTGATGAGTGATGTGTGTGATGTGTGATGTGTATGTGTGATGTATGTGATGTGTGATGTGTGTGTTGTGAGTGTGATGTGTGTGTAATGTGTGTGGGTGATGTGTGTGATGTGTGTGTGTGATGTATGTGATGAGTGATGTATGTGATGTGTGATGTGTGTGACGTGCGTGTAATGTGTGTGGGCGATATGTGTGTGTGTGTGTGGGGTCTTCCCATACCAAGGGGCACAGGGGAAGAGTGCAGGAGTGGGAATTAGAAACATGGATCCGCCATTAGCTCAGGACAAGTCAGACCCCGCCGGGGCCTCTGTCTCCTGATTTGTAAAATGCCGATGGGAGCATGAGTTTGTGCGCCTGAGTGGAACTGGATTCTTCTGCTTCCTGACCGTGTCAACAACACTCCCATCACACTTGGCAGCAGGAGGCGGCCACCCTACACGCCTGGGAATCGCCGGCAGGAAAGGAGCTCAAAGCTGGGGAGACGGCCAGGCTGCAGCTGGCAGGATGCTCACGCTCCTACGCCCACGGGGGAGAATCCGGGCTCGCCACATCCCTCCCACTGAGGACGGTGTGGGATTTAGGCAGTGGACAAGGAGGCCAAGCCACTCCAGGGGCCAAGCCGGAAGGCTGGCCACTCTTCAAGCTCTCGGTGGCTCTGTTGGGGCTGGTCTCGGTGCTTGGTGCCAGTAGCAGCCTGGTGGACTTATCCTGGTTGCGACATCCTGGGGCGGGAGGGTCTCGGCCTCTCGCTACCCTGAGGCCCAGCTTCAGGCAGGAGTGGGGACTGGGCAAGGGCATGGGTCTAGGCTGGGATGCAGCCCCAGTCAGTCCTTCGCCTCCTGAAGTTGCAACATCTGTGGCTGCAAGTGAGCTACACAGAGGATTCAAGGAGAGATAAGAACGCGAACTTGGCTTATGCAAGATGGGAATGGTATCATCTGTTGGAAAATCACACAGTCATCCAGAAAACAAAACCAAACCAAACCCAGTGAAAACCACAGAAAACCTGAGATGACCCCTGGCACCAAAGCCAGGGCAGGAGGAAGGCAGGTGCCCAGAGGAGCAGGGCTTTCTTTATAACCTTCCTTCTGCAATTCAGTGGGCCTCGGCTTCATATTTTATTAATAGGAAACAATTTTCCATATGTGACTGAGTCTGCCCAGCCCTGAGACCCTGGGTGCAGCCTGCAAAGAAAATTATGCTTCTCAGCAGGGCTGGGGAAGGCAGGGAGGCTCCCCTGTAATTTGCCAAGGTGGCCCTTCAGGTGGGGAGCCACGCCCCTCGCCCCCTGGTAACGGGTTTTGCCGCACTGTCCTGGAGCAGCTAGGGCCGGCAGCTGCACAGTTTATCTCTTCATCCAGTCAGGCCTTGCGATTAAAGGCAGTAACAGTTATTGAACTGTCTCATCCCGTGGCCATAATCTGTAATTCAAACCTTCATTTTCCCCTGGCACTTCTGAATTTGGTAGTGTGTTTTCATTACAAATACTTTGCATTTCTCCAAGTGGTTTTTGCAGGAGGCTCCTTGGGAATGAGGTCATCACCAAGGAAAATTCCCGGGTCGAATTTTCTGGGTCTCCTGGACCTGCGGATCCTAGAGGCTCTGGCTTGGAAGGACAGGTCTTTGTAGTTTCCTCACAGTATCCCTGCCAGCTGGCCAGCTGGCCCTCCAGGCCCTGCTTGCATACTTTTGGTGATGGGTGCTTATTACCTGTTGTGACAACCCATGCCATTTTTTTTTTGAGTCTTTTTTTGAATTTGTGATGATATCACTTCTGTTTTATGTTTTGGTTTTTTGGCCTTGAGGCATGTGAGAGCTTAGCTCCCCACCAGGGATCCAACCCGCACCCTCTGCATTGGAAGGCAACTTCTTAACAACTGGACGGCCAAGGAAATCACAGCCCGTGTCATCCTTGGAGAATGAACCGAAATCTGTTTACTGCAGCTTTTGACCATTGCTCCCACACCCCTCCATAGGACACAAAGATCATATCTTCAGCTCTTCTCCCATTTTGCAAGAGAGGAAACCAGGGCTCAAAGAGAAGAAGTGACATTCCCACTGTCCTCTGCCCCCCAGGGTAGGCAGGAGTTAGACTCAGTTTCACCTTGTCCCTGAACCCTTGCTGATGACATTACAACTGGGGTTGGAAACAGGGAAAGGGGTAAGGCAAAACAAACAAACAAACAAACAAAAACAGGTAAGGGGAAAGGGAAAGGGTCCTTGTCTGGTAAGAGGCAGTGGAGGTGGGGCCTCTGGACGAGTCTCGGGAAGCCCTGAGAGGCAGGGCGCATGGAACCAATTTGCGCTGTGACCACACGACTAGGGCCTTGGTCAAAAAGACAAGGCAGAGCCGGGCTTCCCGACAGTGGGGCAATGCTGGAGGCTGGGAGACTTTAACACTCCCCTGGCTGGGAGTTTCACGAACCCCATTCTGTTTCAGTGGGTAGAGCTGGGGGCTGTGAATGAGGCTCCAGAGGTGACCCGTGACTGGTTGGAAAAAAACAGCCTCTGAACATAAACAGCTGGAAATCCTAGCACCAGTTCTTATAGGTGTAAGATATGAGTGAGGAACTCATGCTTTTTATGTTGCTGTATAGGTAGGATCTGCTTAAATGTTTTTGTAAGAAATTAAAGTTGGAGGAAGGGAACCAGACGAAGCAGGGTGGGAGGGGACTGCCTGGCTTTTCTTGGAGCCACGTTTGGGGCAAACTTCTAAGTGGGGCACACTTGCAAGTTTGGGGGAGGATGAAGGAGGCTTCGGAGGGCGTCAGAAGAGGTGGGAGCTGGGGATGGCCGGCACGCGGGCGACGCACAGGGCGGGCCTCACCTCCGTCACAAGGGCAACAGCGACAGTAATGAGCACTCCCCACGGTGCCTGGCAGGAGGGTGGCACCCAGGAGCCCCGAGCAAATGCATCGCCCCTCCCTGGGACCAGGTGCCTTGCACAGCCTGGCGGGCGAGGAAGCTGGGCAGAAATCCAGTGGACCAGGGGCACCTGTACTCACGTTGCATCCAGTTCCCGCTCACTGGGCTGAGGAAGTTGGGGTAGAGGCCGAAGGGCTTGTCAATTTCCCGAAGGACCTTTCGGATGTTCCTGACCTGCCAAGAGATGGACCACCAGGCACATCTTTACTTTCTCCAAGAAGCCAGTCAGCTCCCAGCCCACTGAGGACCAGGGTCGCTGATTCCAGTCCAGAGAGGAAAACAGTCCGACAAGGAAGGAAGGGAGAGCTGGGTAACCAGCAGTTGGCTCCAATCTGGAGGTCAAGAGAGGGGCGTGGCAGGACGTGGCCACAGTGGGGCCTGACCCCCCCAACCTCTGCACTAACTGATCTGCCAGGGGCCCTGCCAGTCTCCCCTTTTCCACCTCACCCCTTCCTCACTGTGTGTGGATTTAGGGGACGAGTCTTTTTACGAGGGGCTTCGTATAAGTGATAGTCGCTCATTTGTAAGTGCTAGACAAAGCTGTCTTTTTAACAGTCAGAAATGGTTAAATATTGGCAGTTTCACATAGCTCAGTCTGGTAATACGTTGTTTTATCTGACACGGTAGGAACCATTCCAGAAGGGAGGCTCCTTAGCATCCTTGTGCCCTAATAGGCGTCTCGGGGTTTTAATAACAACTTCCACAGCTATTAACATTTCTCAGTTGCTCTGAGCCAGACCCATCTGATACATGATCGCCAACCCTCCTAACAATCCATACGGGATTATCATCTCAGTTTAACAGACAAGAAACCAGGATATCAGAGAGGTGCAGTCACTTGCCCGTGGTCACAGGGCTTGTAAGCGGCAGAACCAGGGTGTGAGTATGGTCTGTCCGTCCACACGGAGTGGCCCCGGGTCCAACAGGGATCAGGGCAGGGATCCGGCAGCAGCGTGCAACAGAGGCTGCCCCTGCTGGAGCAGGAGGCTGAATCTGCAACCTTTGGGGTTGTGAAGGGCATGACATGGGATTCAGCAAGGCTTTATCCATCAGGGCCTGCTGTCTGGCAGAACATGAAATCTTCCGGTGCAGACTCTGCAGGACAGAAAGGCCCTTGGGGACTGAGCTGGAGCATGCTCGCAGACTTATCTACAAGCTGAGGAGCAGCGTTTTAGCTGTCAGACCTTTCTTTCCGGGCACAGAAGCTCATTCACACTTTGCTTTGCCACATCAGATCTCACATCTACTTATGCTAACGGAGTCCATTACGGGGGACAGGACTGTGCTTGCACCTGAGTTATTCTTGATTGTCCTGGTGGTGAGCAGTGAAGCGGGCTAAATGAGCTCCCCTGGAGGGTCCGGGTGCTTCCAGAATTGGGGCCAATTTGTTGACTGCCAATAATCGCCTGTGTGAGAGGCATGACTGGGGGAATCAAAGGAGCTGGAGAATGTAAATGTAGCGACAGAGAGATGGAGGGACTCTTGTGAAAAAGCTGGAAGCCAGCTGTACTGATCTGGTCTTGTAAGAGCATGGGTTTCAGGGCCAGAAAGTCCTGGGTTTGAGTCTTGGCTTAATCACTAACCAGAGGGATGACTCAGGACAGGTGATTGAACCTCTCGGAGTCTCAGTGTCCTCCTCTGTCAGATGGGGATAAAAGAAGTCACACCTCACCGGCTTGGTGGGAAAATCAGAGCCACTGTACAGTGCCCAGCACATCGTAGGTGCTCAGGCAGTGGCATCTCCAGTCTAGCAGGAACTAGAGCAACTCTTCGGCTCACTCCTCTCTGAGCCAGCCATGGTATTCCTAGAGGAGTCTGGCTCAAGAGCAGTGGAAATAGGGAGGCTGGGGGCAAAGACAGCCTGGAGTCGGGCAAAAGGACCAGAGACCAGAATGTAAGATTCATCAGAAGTAGCACTGAATTTACTCCATGAGCTCTGGAGGTGGGGTGTCCCGGGAAGGCAGAGACCTCTCAATATAAGGAGGAGCTTCTGAAGGGAGGTCTGACAACATGAGGGGCTGTTTAAGGGTGGTAGTGAGCCCTAGGGCAGAGGAAGTGATCCAGGGGTTGAAAAACTCTTCTTGAGATTCTTTAGAAAGCTTGGGTGCATTCCCACATTGCGTAAGCGGTGGTCCTCAACCTGACATCAAAAAGCACATGGGTGCTGTTTTTTTTTTTTAAAGACTTTTTTTTTCCTGATGTGGACCATTTTAAAAATCTTTATTGAATTTGTTAAAATATTGCTTCTGTTTTATGTTTTGGTTTTTTGGGCATATGGGATCTTAGGTCCCCGACCAGGGATCAAATCCACACCTTGCTACCCTGCACTAGAAGACAAAACCTTAACCACTGGGCCTCCAGGGAAGTCCCGCATGGGTGCTTGTTTAAAATGTAGATTCCTGGGCTTGGGATGACACTCAGAAATCTGCTTCTTCACCAGCCAGCGTGCTAGGTGATGCTTTGAGGCAGGTTGGCTGACGTAAGCCTGGGAGCCACCGGTAGTGTGTGACTCTGTGACCCGCTGGCTCCCTTGGCATTCTAAGAGACTAACACAGGACCAGGGAAGAGAAGGCTTTGGCAGTGGGGGGGTGGGGGGGGTGGGGACAGTGGTCTCCTGCTTCCCGGAGGGCAGGGCTTTATGTCCCTACGGGGCCAGGACTCGGGAAGGGACAAGCGCCATCGGCGGTTGGTGTGTGTCCACTTTCCTTCTTTGGGTTTAGAGTTAGATCTACGGGGACCCTTCCAGATGGGACTGCCCCGGGCTGTGACCGTGAGAAACCACTCCTTCTGGAGGGCTTCATGGGACAGGGGCAGCTGTCAGGAGGGACAAAGGCCTGGACACTGGCTCTCTGCACCCCTGTGGTCTTAGCCAGCCCGGTAACTGAGAAGGAACAGACGTGAGCCTCTGCCGCGGAGGGAAATCGCTTTGCCAGCCTGCTGACAACATGAGCTAGACGGGCGTCTGGAAGCGCTAAGGCAGGCAGATCTCACTGAAGAAGTTAAATGTCTCTGGAAAGGGGACTTCGGTGCCGGGTGGCCAGTTCCTGCCAATGCAAGCTGGTGCCTAGATTTCCCTGGTTGTACTTACTCCGGATTTCACACGTGTGTGGTTGCCACCGAGCTCACACGTATACCAGGGAAAACCTTCTCGCTGGCAGCCATGTCTCTTCCCTGCTTACTCCTTGTCCTCACCTTCCCTGCCGCCTGGCATCGGGTACAACTAGGCAACTATTTGGTCCTCTGGCCCTGGCTGCGGGCTTTCAGCTCCCCCGCTCCCCACCCTCAGCTGGCCCGTGCTCCATCTCTCCATCGGAGGCTGAGTGTTCACCCTCTGCTCTCTGCAAGGGAAAGAAGGAGCGGAGAGACTTGCCTTTTCTGCGAAGACCTGGTTGCCAGAGAGCTGGGTGAGGTGTAAGAACTCCAAGTGCAGGGACCCAAACTCCGCCAGGATGCTGCTGCTCCCTGCCATGGCCCAGCCCCAGCTCCTGTTGGAGCCGCTGAAAAGACAGAAGCAGTCAGGGTCACCCCCTGCCGGCGGGGCTGGCTCCTCTGCTACGTGGGGGAGCACCTACTATGTGCTGAGCACTGGACTAGGAGCTTCACCATCCCATCCCAGTGAATCCTCCCTGGGGGTCGATACTGTTCGTACCCCAGTTTTAGTATGTGTGCTGCCGAAGCCAGCACATACCCCAGTTTATCTGATGAGGATGTTCAGGTTGGTGAGAAACTCGCCTACAGGTCATTTAAACCCAGGGCTGTCTGACAGGCAATAGTCTTCATTTCTATGGTCAAGCAGCTCCTGTAAGACGTGTGGGCTCTTGAAGGACATGAGCAGAGCTGCCTTGGTGGCCAAGACCTGGCACAGACGTGATGCTAAATATACAGGCAATAGGGATAATGCTGTCAGGGACCACAAAGACCCCCCAGAACATTCTATTTCCACCCACTTGTTCAAGGGCAACTGATGGCTCACAATCATTGTTGCTGCGTGTGGAGGGTAAATAGTGCATGGCTGGGGTCCAAAGTGGGGGATGACGAGAGGGACCCCGCTTGGCCCTTTTTCCTTCCCTCCACAGTCACTGCTGCCCATGGACTCGCAGCGGTCCCCAGCTGGAACTCTGTGGAACCCACACCTGAAGGGTGGATGGCTCTTCTAAGACCACCCACCAGGGACCACCAGACCCTGGGAAGTCTGAGGTTAGGGATGAAAGCAGCAGGGGCTCTCTGAGCAAAGGTCTCCCCGCCGCAGAGATGCACGTGTCTCATGAACACCTTACATGGATCACCAGCATGCCTTGGCGACCCCGCCGGAGAAGGCTGTCAGCTAACTGCGTCCTCCCTTTCCTTGAAAGCACTGGGTGCTTTCAAGGAGGAAGAGTGGAGGCAGGGCCTCGGGCAATCCTCCCATCTGCCCCTTTCACAGGTGAGGAAACCAAGGCACAGGGTGGTGACGTTGCTGCCTGAGATCACACAGTTAAGTGGAGCAGTTGGGACCCTGGCTCCCCAGCAGCTGGCCTCCGTCCACCCTCTGTCTCTCAAGGACAGGACCTCGGAGGGCAAGCGTGGGTCTGGGAGGTCACAGTTTGCCAGCTGAGGGGCCCTGCTTTATCTGGGTGGGCTGGGGCTCCCCCGAGGTTGCCTTTCTCCTCTCTGATGTGGTTTCAGGGAACTCTTGCAGCAACAGATGGAATCGAGTTCAAGGATCTTTTGGAGCAATGACCTCAATAAACACACCCGCTTCCTTGGGTGTTACTCTGACTCTGGGCAGGTGGGGAGGCAGGGGTTGCACAGAGGGCAAATTTGAATTCTAGATAGTAAATAGAACAGCTTCCAGATGCAGGCACTGGGACGGGCTGTCCACATCATGACTGCATTTAAAGCCCACAAGTTTAAGCACCGTTAATCCCTGAGGAAAACAGAGAGGGAAGTGAGCTGCCTTTAGAAGCTCAGAACCAGTAGGTGGTGGAGGCAGGATTCAAATTGAGATCTGTTGGCCTTGGCCTCAGACGGCACGACCCTCAGGGGTCCCCCAGATGGCCCCATATCCACCCCGAGAGAAGGGGAAGCTGACCCCTCTGTGTTCCTCTTCCCACCAGGCCAGGAGACCTCTCTCTCCAGCCTGTGACCTCAGTGGGAGCCTCAGGCACCCACAGAGAGCTTCCTGAATAATTGAAGCCTCCTGCCCTGGCAGAGAAACTCAAGGTAAACAAACAAACAAACAAAAAAGCCCCAGCCATCATCAGCAGTCTTTTGTTCTTCTTTTCCTTACAGGAGCCTCTCCTTCCTTCCCCTCCCTCCCAATGCTCACCCTCCCAAGTGGACCTTCAGTGGTGAGTTGCCCCTGGCAGGGGCAGGTGGTGGGCCAGGCACTTCCCTTTCTGCAACCTCGCCTCACATACTGGCTCCCCCAGTTCCCAGCTAGGGGACCTCAGGCGGGTCAGGGAATTCCTGCAGACCCCGGTCTCCTCATCTCCACACCTCAGAGAGTCATTGTAAGTTACAAATCACACACGCGATGACTGTCATTGTAACCATTACGTAATAATGCACATTAAATTATGTTGTCTGTTAGAGTTAAGTTCTTGATATGTGCCAGGCCGCAGCGGTATTTAATTTTACCTTCACATCCAACTGCAGGGGTAGATAGCAAGATTCTTATTTCACAGGTTAGGACAGTCAGAGTCAGAGAGGGGAAGACACTTTTCCAAGGTCACACAGTAACTGATAGTGTTAGCTGAGCTGAAACCAAATCCAAATCCTAGGTCCTCTGTGCCCCTAATGCATCCGTTCTGGGCAGCTTCCATTCGGAGATCAGGAGGTCTTCTGATCAGCCTGTGACTGGTGGGCTGACAGAAGCGGGTCTGCTCCCCTTCCTGCCTTTTATGCCTGCAAGTGGGCCTGCAGCCTGCCTTCTCTCCCCTGGTATGAGGGGCTGCTCCATAATACCCCTCCCCAGCCTGGCAGAAGCGTCTGTGTGTGTGTTACCTGTGTGTGTACTCATGTGTATAGTATCAACACAATCATTAATTCTGGAACCAGACAGAGACTGGATTCTAATTTCTAACTTTGCTGCTGTGTGACCTTGGGTAAGTTACCTTACCTCTCTGAGTCTGTTTCATCACTTTAAACTGGGGTCCATGTGGTTGCTGTGTGATGAAGAGAAAGAATCCGTAACGTCGTGCCTGGGACACAGTGACCATTCGACAAACCTGCATAATTATTACCACATGGATGCATGTGTGTGGCAGAAGTGTGCACTTGTAAACACATATTTGGGTGTGAATCTGTGCACATAGGGATGGGAGAGCGTGTGTGACAAAGGTGAGGCTGGATCTCTGAGACTTCATGATTAGGGTGAGTGGCAGTGGGATGCACGCGTGTGTGTGAGCCTGAGTGTGTGAAAGCTACCTGGAGAGGCTGATTCAGCTGCAGGGGCCCTGGGACTGGACACCTCCCTCCTCCAGAGTCCAGTGGTCCTGCAGGTCAGAGGTCACGGCTGCCCCCTGCCTCTGCCTCCCAGGCCTGCCGCCAGGGAGGAGGAGTGGTCACGCTCACGCAGGGACCACCACCCCTCAGTGTCCTCCTCCGAGTTACTGCCCCTCCTCCTGGGGCCCCAGGCAGAGCTGCCCAAAGCCAGCCCCGCGCTGGGCAGGGGCAGCAGCGTGGACCCCGCTCGGCCAGCAGGCCCTGTCCAAAGGCAACACTCAGCACCACGCCCCCAGGGCTGTATACATCCCTGACGCTTTCCCTGGTGGAACCAGGATGCATTTTTAGCAACAGACTCTCTTACCCAGAAAATGAGAGGGAGGTGTTGCCAGGAAATATGCATTTACATACATATGTATACAGCACCGGCAGCATGCAAACAGCCTAAAAATAAATGCGCTTTCTTAATCAGAAATGTCAGGATCTGTGTGAGATCAGGTCTGGGCTCTGAGGGACCCGGGAAAGGTGGGCAGCCAGGGCCGTGGCGCACGGGGCTTGCTGGGAGTCAGGGGAGGGGGGTGCCACGTATGGAGGAGGGAGGGGTGCCTGAGCTAAGGTCTTATCCCAACCCCGGGCAGGAAGGCCCAAGAAGCTAGACCCAGGACAGAGTCAGAATCACAGGGTGCTTATGTCTTGGCTCCAAGACATATGGCCATGTTTCTCCAGATTCAGTGTTTGTGGGAAAGGAACCTGAAAAGAGATCCAACTGTCCACCTCTGAGAAGTGAAGCCTGGCACCGAGATGGTGCTTCAATGGGTCCCTAGGGTTCCTCGCTGGCCTGTTACAGAGGCTGAAGTGACATCACTCCCCAGGAATCCTTTCAGACCAGAGATGGTAAGTCAAGATGCCCAGCAGGCCGAGTCCCCTCTTCTTTGCAAGGTCCTAGAGGGTGGGACCTCTTCCGGACAGACGGGGCGGTGGGGACTCTAACTGAGCCCAGAGACTCTGCCTACCCTCCCCTGTGGGGCTGAGATTCCTGAGATAAGAAACTGCTTCAGGAGATGGGACGGAAGTTCAGTGTGATGGAAATATTACAGCCCTTCCCCCAGGGCCCGGCTGTAGCAGGGCCTAAAGGAGAGCCCCAGAGGGCTCCCTGGGTGCCTGGGGACAGGCTCGTGCCTTCTACTGAGACTCCTGGCTCTGTTCCGTGTAGCGATGGGCAGCAGGGTTCCTGCCTGAGGGAGGGCCAGGTGGGCATCAGGAGCACAGCTGTTGATCCGTAACAAAATGACTTAAAAGTTGGCCCCATTACCTGTGAGCTAGAAGACCTTGGGCAGCAGCCATAACATAAATACCGACCCTAAAGGGCTGCTGTGCGGAGTGTGATAGGTGAGGCGATGAGCGAAACCCTCGGCGTGACGCCAGGCACAGAGTGACTGCTCAATAAACGTTGGAATCAGCAATCATCAGAGTCGGCCTCTCGTCCCACACACGGTGCCTCGAGTGAACATGTGTGGAAGGAATGAAAAAGCAAGGGGACAGGTGTCCTGCTCTCAAGAAGCTCCAGGGCTGGTGGGGGAGCGTGGAGAAGAGGGGGAATGAGGGCCACACGAAGCAGAGAGGGTGCCTGGTGGCCAGGCGAGGTGAGGATGCTTTTGGCTTCTGGAGAAGGTAGCATCTGAGCTGGGCTCTGATGGCCAGAGAAGCAGCGAGAAGCCCAGGGGACAAAAAGATGGAGGGCAGGCAAGGCAGTGGGGTGCACAGCGGTCTCCAGGAGCAAGCTGCATGCTCTTCGGTGGATCTTAGGGCCTGCTGGCCACTGTTCCCTTGACTTTCACCCCCCTCTTCCCCTCTGGGAAGCAGTGGGACGCAGGTAAGTCCCCGAAGGCTTTGTTGCGGGCTGGAGCTGCAGCCTGGCTCCACCTGCTCCAGCCATGTCCCCCAAGGTCCTGTTCACTCTGGTTCTGGGACTTGGCGAACGTCCAGAAAGACGATAGCTCCCACACTGAATTAAGCAACCCATCGGGAGGGAAAATGATGGAAGCAGCCAGTGAAAATCAGTGGCCAGTAGAAAGAAGCATACCAGTCGTTTCTTGCTTAGTGGAGTCACATGTGATATTTTGGGTCTTATCCAATACTTCTTGTATAATCCACATTTTTTGCGAGGAGAATTTGCTTTTATAGGGGGGACTCACAATAAATATTAGTGAAAATGGAGTGGGAAGTCCTGGGCTCATGCCCTAGGTGGGCCTTTACTGGCTTATGTGACCTCAGCCAGGGTCTTTCCTCCTTGGAGTCTGAGCCTCCATGGGGTTGATGTTTCAGGAAGCCCCTCGAGGCTCCTGAGACTTAGCTCTGAAAGGGGCTGAGAGGGAGGGTCAGCAAACCAAGGTCCCTCTGTCCATGGTCCTGGCTCCCCAGCGGCTGCGGGTTCCTGCCCGTGGTGGGAGGTGTGATGTCCCTCCTGGCCAGGGATCCCAGCGGGCGAGGGGTGGTTGGGGCACAGCTGTGGGGCTGTGAGTCATGGCAGCATTACAGGAGGACCCCAGAGGCACGGCGACCCCCTCTCCACACCAGGAAGATCAGGGGCCCTTGGCTAAGGCTGGCTTTCACTATGCCACCCCCTCCCTGTGATCCCACACCAGAATCACTGCCCTCCCCCCACCCAGCCACCGTGGGCCTCAGCTTCCATGCACATGCAGCCAAAACCACAAGGGGGAAACCAGAAGGCAACCTACCTTTTGAAGTTCACCACGCCTTTTGGGATTCCCGTGGGGGTGTCGAAGGCTGGCAGGAGTTTCTCTCCCAGCTTGATGGCCTTTATCCGGAACACCTGGAAAGGAAGGGTCAAAGGGCACTGTCAATCCTGGCAGATGAGCCCGCCAAGGCTGCTGGACCCAGAGTGGGAGGGTTATTAGGCTCCGGGGTCAGACAGGCCTGCACGTGAGCCTGACTCCATGATTTTCTGGCTCGATTCCCCTCCTCGTTTATAAATAATCAAGGATCACACTACGTTCCTCAGAAGGCTGCTGGTGGCAGGAACATCAGATAACGGTTGCAAAGCACCTACTGTGGTGTCAGGACTCGGATGAAAAGGCTCGGTGATGATGCTGTGATCAGGGTGACCGGCGGGAGGGCAGCGGGTCACCAGTGTCAGTGCCAGCCTGCGCTGCAGCGGGCTGAGCACGTGGGGAGCACCTTCGGACAGGATGTAAGGGGCCTGGACCGCGAGCTCCAGGCCTTGCTCCCCAACTTGGCTTCCGTGCGCTTCTCAGCAAACCTCTGCCTTCCCCCACACCGTAAACCCAGGGGAAGGGCCTTTCCCCGCTGACATTCTGCCCACTGGTCCTGTTTTATAGCAGGAAAGGTGAATGGGTAACCCAGAGATACGATGGCTAAGGAGCCCAGGTGTCAGGGGCCCTGCCCAAGGCTCTGGGCCCCTCAAACTGTTCTGATTAATTCAGAATCACCTGTGACCCTCTGAGGAAATAAATCATCAAGGAAGTTGCAACAACTTAACTTTATGGCTATTTATTCCAGTGTTGTTTACAATAGTAGAAAAAGTGGAAATACACTAAATATCAAGTAACAGGCAAATAGTGAAATTATGGCTTTTAAGTGCAACCACTGAAGTGATGTTGGAGACGGTTATTTTATAGCAAAAGAAAGGGGTTTATGATCTATTAAGAGAAAATATTTCACAATGGTGTAATTCAACTTTTGCATGAGGAAAGGTTGGGAAAACGCTGAAATACTAACAATGGTCTTCCCAAAGGACTAGGCTCATGGAGGATTTTTATTTTCTTCTTTTGGTTTATCTCTATTTTCTGTGCTATTTTTACAATAAAAGAAAACCCACAAAAATGTTATTTTTTTTTTAAAATGAGATGCAAGTCCCCAAGCAGCCACTCCTGGTGAGACAACAAGCATTTCCTTTCACTTCGGGGCCCCAAGGGGGTCTCAGTGCACTGACGCCTCTGTGTGTCGTTGCAAGATGAAGTGTTCCTGAGGTCTCTCCTTCTAACACTTGCAATTCATAGCTGCTCAGGCAGCCGTCTGGGGACCACAGTGGAGAAGGAGTTTGTGACCACCAGCTGGGATGTGGATTAGAGGGCTCTGTGGAGAGGTGTGGGTGGTTCTTGTTTAGGAAGGAGGGTGGGAGGGACGGAGGGAGACGCAATAATCGCACCTGGGGACTGGCTGTGATGGGTGAGAGAAGATGATAATGTCCAGTGCCAGACGGTGGGTCCGAGAAGTGGGTACGGGGCAGCTCAGCAGAATCCCAAGGGAGTCTGTCTAGACACCAGATTCCAAAGCCTCAAGTCACCCCAGAAGCCACTGGTTCAGTAACAAGGGGCTCTTGCTTGAAGGTCCTGCTATCTTCATTTAACCCCCAGGGGGGATGAGCACAGAGGCACAAAGGAACCCACGGGGACCTGACAGAAGGCTGGGGCTCCAGGCTGCCCTCTGCTCGAGGACTCCACGCTAACTCCTCTGAAATGCTCCTCTCTGCCAGCAAACCGCATCTCCTCCTTTGGAAGGCCTTCCTGCTGACTGGTACAGCAGGGTCTCAACCATCCCAGGGAGGATGCTGGGGGGCTGAGGAGATAGGAGTAGTACCACGGGGAATAGAAAGCCTGTCCTCCTTATCGTTTGGAAATGATGTGTCTTATCTACGTGGTCTTCAATCCTTGCAACAGCCTTGGGGAAGACAAAACTGAGTCTCAGAGAAGCAATTTGCCCAAGGTTGTGGACCTCTGTTATGTGGCTCTTTTCCAGGACACCACGCTGCCTCACCAACACAGAGAGATTCGGTCTCAGACAGTCATGATAATCAACGGGCAGTGGCCTCCTAGTTCCGGAACAGAGGTGAGAAAGACCGGCAGGAATTACGTGCCACAGAGTGGAAAGCGCTATGGACTGGGAGTCAGAGCCCAGGTTTGATCTCCCAGCTGGGCAGCTGCGTGACCTTGGGTGAGGCATGTGCTGTCTCTGAGCCTCCTCTGCACAAAGGAACAGTGATGTGTGCCCTGGCTGCTTCAGAGAGTCTTCTAGAAATCAGATGAGAGGATGTACATAAGTGAATGTGCTATATAAGCTGTAAAGTGCTCTGAGAATCTCACTCGATGCGGCCGTAGCTGTACTTGTCATTCTCTTGGGAGCGGAGTCTCAGGGGCTCCACCTCCTGCAGGTCCCCTCTGTAGCAAGAAAGGCCTCAGCACCGGAAGGGATGTGGGGGCTCCTTCATCGTTCATTCCACAAACACTCGTGGGAGCAGCCCACCCCACAGATACCCACTGTGGGTGAGACGGAGGAGGAGAGGGGAGGGCGTCCTCACCCTGGTGTGGCCAAGTCCCAGCGACAAGCAGTGATGCCGGGCCAGGCTGAGCAGGGGCTAGGACCCAGGCCGCAGCAGGAAGGCCACAGGAGCCTGTGTGGCCTGCACCAGATGGCGCTCTAGGTCTCAGTCTGCATGCCTGCCAGGGCAGCCTGGTCTCTGCCACGTGGAGGGAGGGGTCCGGGAGGCGTGTCTGGGGGGACGGGGCAGCGCCGATCACCCAGGAGCCTGCCTGCTCAGGGACTCTGCACCGATCAGGCTCTCCTGGGGCCTCCTGGACCACGGTGCTCACACCACACCCCACTGCCTGCTCTGCTCTCCAGAAATCATTGGTCCCACACCCACCCCGGTGGGCCCTGAGCTGTATCACTCCTGCCCCATCCTGGACAGGAGGCTGGGCAGTGCCTGGGCAGAGCCTGGTGCCTTTCTTGACTCCACGTCATTTTCCTGTCCTGGGGTTTTTCAAATGACATTCAGGCCTTGGGTGGCTTGCAGGGTTCCCCTGGACCATCAGTTCAGTTCACTTGCTCAGTCAAGTCTGACTCTTTGTGACCCCATGGACTGCAGCACGACAGGCCTCCCTGTCCATCACCAACTCCCAGAGTTTACTCAAACTCATGTCCCTTGAGTTGGTGATGCCATCCAACCATCTTTCTCTGTTGTTCCCTTTTCCTCCTGCCTTCAGTCTTTCCCAGCATCAGGGTCTTTTCCAATGAGTCAGTTCTTTGCATTAGGTGGCCAAAGTAATGGAGTTTCAGCTTCAGCATCAGTCCTTCCAAAGAATATTCAGGACTGATTTCCTTTAGGATGGACTGGTTGGATCTCCTTGCTGTCCGAGGGACCCTCAAGAGTCTTCTCCAACACCACAGTTCAAAAGCATCAATTCTTTGGCACTCAGCTTTCTTTATAGTCCACCTCTCACATCCATCATTTGGGGACAAACTGGTACAAGCAGGAAGCTCTGCTTAGGAGACCAGGCTTGAGGGAGAGGGGCCGTGAGTGACGGCAGAGACCGAGGGCTCACTGCTGCCTCCACACCCATGGCGTCCGGGGAAGCCCAGTGACCTCCTCCGACAGAGGCGGCAGAGGCTCCCCGCCGGCAGGGAGCAGGACCATTTTTGTCCCTAAGTGATGCGCAGTGAGGCGCAGAGCAGCGCAGCCCTCTGGGTAATGGAGACATGACCGACGGCTGACCCATGTGCTGGGGACTCAGCCAGCTTGCCCCTCAGTCCTCAGACACTCCCAAGGGATGAAGTCCCCCCAGCTCTGTGATCTCAGGGTTCCTTACGGTGCGGAGAACATGGGCTCTGGAGCCCTTCAGCCCTGGGCCCGAACTCTTTCCCTCTCATCCCATTTCATAAGAGCTCTCTGACTCCATGGGCTTAGGATCACCCCGCGGAGGGGAAGGCAGGAGGCCCAGGAGCGGGAGAAGGAACTTGCTCAAAGCCAAGGCAGGTGCTGCATGCGGGTGAGACGAAGGCTTTCCTACGCCGTGCCCAGGGCTCCGCCTTCTCGCCTCACTTCAAGGCTCTCCTTCTGGAAGCCAAAGCAGCTCGCCTGGGCTGAGTGGCCAGCAGTGGCTGCCCACCTCCCTGGTCAGCCCCTTGAGACCTAGGGCTGGTGTCTGGCCCTGGAGCGGAGGACAAGGGATGGCTATAGAGCAGGCCCAGGCCCAGGGGCCCGAGGTGGAAGTGGGCCAACAATGGTCTTGGCTTTATCAGTCCTGAGAACCAACATGTGTGAAAGCCAGCCCAGCAGCAACCCAAGCCCAGAGCAAGCCCGGATGTTGAGGGTTCCACGAGGGGAGCTGTGCAGATGGTGAGCAGACCCAGCTGCTGCCCTTAAAGATTTACCGCCAACCCTGGGAGCCAGTTCTGAGCAGCAGAGTGGACACGCTGGACAGAAGAGGAGGCGGAATCTGCAGGTGGCCCTATGGAGATGGGATGTGGGTCCCCTGGAACCTGTTTCCTTGTTGGTAAAACAAGCGGGGTGGGGTTCCTCTTCTCCCAAGCCCTCTTCAGCCAGGATGACCCAGGGGCCTCAAGAGGCCAACTCACCTCCTCTCCCGTCAGGTAGAAGGCTGAGAGCAGTCCTCCAATGTACCGGATGTTCACTTCGAACAAGGACGCTTCTCCGCTCTGCAGGGCAGAAACATGGGGAGGGCAGAGGGGACACACGTGAGACCCCCGCAGGGCTCCCTGGGGCCCGCTGGGCCCTTGAGACAGGTCACACCTGCCACCCACCGCCTCTGCCCCACTGGCCTGGCCACACTTGGGCCAGGCTCCAAGCCCTTGCCCAGCAGGCCAGGCTCCCCGCGGTGGGGATTTTCAGAGCAAAAGGCGAGAGGGATCAGCACCTGCCTGGCGGCAGCTACCGCACATTTACAGAGTTCCAAATAAACACTGGGCTTGGCTTCCTTCCCCGGCCCTTGCCAGAGGCCATCGGAGCAAAGTTATGCCTGGCTGCTCTCCAAGGAGCTCGAGAACACGCCGGGGGAGCTGACGGCTGAAGCTCAGCCTGAGGCCCGGCCAATCATCTCACAGTCTGCTCCCCAGCTTCCCCAAGGGACCCCCTCCTTGGCTTTGCAGGAGGCTGGTGTGGTCCTTCTTCGGGGTAACAGAGGAAGCAGAAGGTTCTCAGAGGAGGTTCTGGGGCAAAAGGAGGGCTGCCAGGCAGATCTTGACAGGCAATCAGCACTTTCTTAGCCTCCGCTCTGTAGCCCTCAGGGTACACCCACACTCGCCTTCAACATTGTTGTTTTCTTTCTGAAGCCTGGACGGCAAAGCAGGGGTGTTAGAGCATCGTGCCAAGGCCCAGATCTGGCTTAATATCCCACCTGAGCCACTCACTTGGCGTTCATACTTTGGGCAAGATATTCAGCCTTTCCCACTCCGAGTTTCCTCTTCCTGAGCAGGTGGATAGGAGATGCTGACTGGGGCAGGGGAGAGGCCTGCACAGTGCCTGTCCAGGGCTGGGTGTGGCTCCATAAAGGTACCCCCCCCCTTGCTATTATCCCCCCCTTGCTTCCGAGGGCTCCCTTTGCACGCTTCCCACATTGTAGTCTTTTGTTATTGATGACAATGATGGTCATCCTTTTATCTGGGAGAGCTTTTCCATTAACAGAGCACTTGCAAAGCTACTCCTCTCTTTTGCCTTCCAGTCCTTGGTGAAGTCATCACTCCCACCTTTCAGATGAGAAAGCCCAGTCTCAGAGAGGTGAAGAGCCCCCACCTGGCTTTCTTCCAGGGACACTCCCTAACTGTCCCCGGGCTGCCTGAATGTCCCTAGGCTCCCCAGCCCTGCCACCACCCGGCCCCTCGGGCAGGTGCCTGCGGCCCACTCTATTCCCACCATCTGCTTAGGGGTCCAGATGGGCTATGGAGCCACTCCTTCCTTCTCCCGCCTCTGCTCCCATAGGAAATGGGAGGATTCTGAACTTCTTCACCTCATCCAGACTGGCAGAAGTCATAACAAGCTTTGAAATCATCACAGGGAGACTGGCATCACTTTATCCGTACTGGACTTTACAATGTGTTATAAAATGCTTTTTACAACCCTCCATGGTTGTTCATCCTTACAAGCCTGTGAATTAGGCACCAGCATCGCCCCGTCTTTCAGGTGGGAAACCCAGGCCCAGGAAGGTCACATGACTTTTTCCCAGCCTGCTGGCCGAGCCGAGGTTCCCCTGTAGCGTTGCTCTCCCAGACCTTTTCCACTCTGTCTCTCTGCCCTGCTCCACGGTGACATGGGCCCCTCTAGGAGCAGAGGCGTCCACTCTGCCAGGAGTTACAGGAGCCGTCCCAGTTCATAGCAGGACCTGTCATTCGTGGAGCCCCGGCTGGAGCCTGATGGTGGGCTTTGACGTGACCTTACCATCTGTCTCCACGTCCTACTCCCCCAGACCACCTAAACGGCTTCTCCCTGCAGGGAGCTGAGACTGCCAGGATGGATCTGTCACTTTAGCCCAGGCTGGGAGATCACTGGGAGAGGGAGGCGTCTGGTATTTAAGGCTTTTGTACCATCCGTACACGTGAGCAGTCCCTCCCCAAGGTCTGGTCCTTGAGGTCCTGAGCAGGGTTGCCTGCAAAGGCTAGAGACCAAGAGGGTCCCAGACCTGGCCGGGGGCCTCATACCAGATGGCCTCCATGCCCCCTCACCTGTCTCAAGAGGGCAGCGAAGGGGCACGTAGATGCGAGCTCCAGCTCAGGGCAGTCCAAGCAGACAGCCACCTCTCCCTTCCCAGAGTCGCTTCCCCTGTTGCTGCTATTCTGTCTAATGGATTCAGCCCCAGAAGGAGCTTCCTGGATGGGAGCAACGTGCCTGGAGTTCAGGCTAGTAAATACTCATGGGCTGGCGGGACATCCCCCACCTTAAGGCTGGTCACAGGGGAGGGCACTTGGCACAGAGTGTCGGGAGCCCTGGCTCTGAGAATGCCCTGCTGGGCAGCCTGGGTCTCAGAGATGGGAGGCGAGCTGGTGGCTGACCTCTCAGGCCCCTTCCAGCCCTAGTACCCCAAGAGGTTTTGGACTCACCACGTTCAAGTGGAAGCTCTCTTCAACCCAGGCCTTGGCCTCCTGGAACTCCTCCTTCAGCTCCATGAGGTAGAGGGTGTCGAGGGAGTCGATGACCGTGGCCCCGCTGAGGCCTCCTGCAAGCGCAGAGGATGCAGGGCGTGACCCAGGGTCATTCTCATCCTTTCCACCCAACCATAAGCCACCATTTCCCAGGCCTCCTCTAAATACCTGGGCAGGCTCCCAGGCACAACTCAGGGAGACCCCAGGGCCACCAGCCTTTAAAGGCACATCTGGGACCCAGAGTCCTCCCTTTGGTTCCTCCTCAGGGCAGCAAAGAGGGAGTGGTGGGTAGAGGAGACAAGTTCAAGGGCTGAGCGGCTTCCCAGACCTTGGTTCACTTTTCCGTCTGCAGCAAGTCAACTATCAGCTCCAGGCAGGCACCTACCACTTTTCAGTGATGCCGCAAGGTGAGCAGAGGGGTGGGTGAACTGGTATTTAGTGTACAAAATCTTAAAAAATGTGCTAGTCCTCTGACTCTTCAATTCCATTCTTTATTTTATGCTAAGAAAAAAGATGTTCATAAATATTTACCCAGGAAGGTATTTATTGCAATAACATATAATGGGTGAAAAAGTAAAAAGTGAAAGTGTTAGTCGCTCTCGTGTCTAACTCTTTGTGACCCCATTATAACCCACCAAGCTCCTCTATCCATGGAATTCTCCAGGCAAGAATACTGCAGTGGGTAGCCATTCCCTTCTCCAGTAGATCTTACCAACCCAGGGACAGAACCCAGGTCTTGCAGGCAGACCTTGAAGGCAGATTCTTAACCATCTGAGCCACCAGGAAAGCCCCAAATATAATGGGTAAAAGTTGGGGGGAAAAAGCTCCAAGTCCAATAATAGGGCATCGGTTATACAAATTGTGGCTTATGTACAAACTAGGACACTATGCATACATTCACACAAGTGAGAAAGACTATTAGTTGGGGAGATATTCACAGGATCTGATAAGCTAAAAAGATTAAATTGCAAAAAAAAAAAAAAAAGCAGAGTATAATTTCTTTACTGTTTGCCAGTATGGACAAGCTGGTACCGAATTAAGTCTGGCAGGAAGTGATTCAGTGGTTATCTCTGGGGGTGAGGATTACAGGTGCTTTGATTGCTTCTAGCTCATGGATTATTTTTATAACCAGAAATTTATTTCTGCCTGAAAAAAAAAAGGAAAGATGGTTTGAGCAAAGAAACCAAACACATGCACAACTAAAGAGTCCATGGCCACCCCTGGGCCGCAGACTCCTGTCTTGGGAGTAAAGGCAGAGAAAACTGTACAGTGTCCCCCCTCACAAGCCAGACAGAAAAGCAATGAGAAGACCTCCCCATGTGGGACAATAGCGCATGGCTTGTAGAGGATGGTGAAGGAGGAAAGCGGGGAGAAAGATGTGTTTGGCCACCTGGAGGGCTTCCTGGAAGAGACGGCAGGCTCCCATCAACTCTGTCCTACAGTCATCACAGGCAGCAGTAACTTCCTTCAGGGACTGGGGGGTAACTTAAGAGTATTGTTCCTTCAATGCACTCCGTGCAGAGGCTCAAAGCATTGAGCCTCGCAGGCTGTGCCTACCCCCAGCGGCCGCCAGAGCTGGCCAATGGGTGCTGAGCCCCACTTGAGTCAGAAGCACGGCTCTGTGGGCCCTCCTGCATTCAGAGCTAGTGTCTGATCTCCTTAATTAGTGCTTCTCTAACTGCTCACTTGTGTTGACTTTGCAGAGTAATTCCTATGAAACTCAAACACTTAACCACCTCTCTAGGCCGGGCAAGTTCAGATAAAAGGCATGCCTTGGAAAAGGATGGGAGGTAGACCCGGGAGAAGTTGGCAGAAAGTTAAGTCTGGAGGTTAAAGAGCCATTTCCAGGGGGAAGGGTTTTGCAAGGAAGAGTAGAGGGTAGAGAGGGCTGGCGGGGGGTGGGGGGTGGGGGTGCGGGGGAAACGACTCGCTTCCCAGTCCAGAGACGTGTGTCCTGGGATGGCTTTGGCATTTGGGTTGAACTGAATTTCCAGAATATCAACCCCTCCCACACTTAAGCATTAATAGGAAAACATACTCAAAGCCAAACAAAATTGATCTTTTCCTGGTTTATCCCAGCTGCTTCCAGGCAGGTGTCCAAGGCTGAACACAGTTCGTGGGAACTCTGGACCCTCCTGAGGTGCTCAGGCCTTGGTACACGGATGGGCCATACATGGAGAGAGACATGCCCAGACCCAAGGGTGCTGGCCTGGTATCCACGCTCCAGGCTCTGATGCCGGGGCCCCCTTCCCGCTCACCACAGGGCCTCAAACCTGAGTTCTTCAGGGCCTGAAGGAATTCTTGAGATCCCCCCTTGCCTCACCCCTAGATTTCATAGATGAGGACCCCAGAGAGATCCCCTTCAAGTTTAGGCCAAGGGAGGAGAGAAGCCCCAGGCTGGGCCACATGTAATGTGTTTTCCATATGAGGGCGTCTGGGTTCGCTGGGAAACAATTTCGGATCTGCTAGCTGAGCCCCCTTCCTGGCGGGGCCCGGAGGCTGCTCCGATCCGTGAGAAGAAAAGCCCAAGCTGCCTGTCCTTCAGGGCCAAGGGCGAGGCGGCCCAGAGCATCTGATTCCTGGATCCCGTCTCCGGGCTGGCGGGTGTTTTCACCCCGTGGGCCCTCCGTCTCCGGGGCTGACCCTGAGCCCAGAGGCCCCGGGACCTCGGCTGGGCTGGGAAGGCAGCCAGGGCGCCTTGTGATCAGCTGTCCTCCCGAACACTCCCGAGGCCGCTCACTAAGAGATCTGTTGGCAGGGTTCTGCCCCGGCTCTCCGCTTCCTCTCACCCCGCCCCCCGCCACCACCCTGCTGGGCCACAGGCCAGCAAGTCACTTATTGGAAAGTTTTTTGTTTCAGGCCAGAGGTTACCTGGTGGCCCAGCTGCCAGGCAGGAAAGAAGGCGTGATCCCGAAGTCAACTCTATCTGCACCTGCGGCCCGTCTGGGGTGGCTCCCCCAGGGAAAAGGAGATCCATCCGTTCAGTCAACAGGCCCACAACTTGTCAGGAAAGAGCCAGAGGGTGCAGAGAGTCAGGCAGCTGGCTTGGCAGCTTCCCTGGGCTGGGGCAGCCCACTCTCCCAGCTCTAGCTCTGAACTTGTGTTCACAAAGGACACCACTGGCTCCTCTTTCTGCCAGGGCAGCAGGCAGTGGTGGTGGTGGTTCAATGGCTAAGTCATGTCTGACTCTTGCGACCCCGTGGACTGTAGCCCTCCAGGCTCACTCTATGCATGGGATTCTCCAGGCAAGAACACTGGAGTGGGTTGCCATTTCCTTCTCCAGGAATCGAGGCAGTGGGGTCTGTTAAAAAACAAAAAAACCACAGCTCTGTGTTCAAATCCCAGATTGGGTCAGCAACACATCTCCTCTAAGTGCCGAAGTTCTCATCTGTAAAATGAGGTAAAGACCCCTGGGCCAGGGTACTGGGGAGCCACTGAAGGTTCCTGAGCTGGGACAAGGGTATCATATAATGCCCAGCCTAAATACACTTGTATGTGTCTGGCACAGAGTAAGCGCTTGACATATCAGTTCACTGCTCTTACTTCTGGGGTCCCTTAGCTCACCTTGAAATGCTGGTCTGGCCCAGGGAGGCATGGGTTCACATTCTGGCTCCGTTATGTACTAGCTGTGTGACAGGGCAAGTCACTACCTCGCTGAGCCTCGTTTTTCTCATCTGCAAGAGGGGGAAATACAGCAGGACCAACCTGGTAAGGCTGCCGGGAGGGTTAAGTGTGGCGGCAGATGAAAAGGAGCTGGCACGATGTTGGGTACACGTGCTTGCCCCTACAAGCAGAAGTGTGGCCCTCTGTCCCCAGTTGGCCCTGGGCAGCCCCTACAAAAAGTCTTCTAGGGTCACTGAGGCCTTATGACGCTCCTGCATTACTGGTTTCTCACCACCCCGTGGGCACCAGACGCAGCTTGTAAAAGTCTTCACCTCAACTTAAAGGAAAAGCGTCACACGGGTCCCACCTAGGTCCAATGCTTCCCACCCCTGACTTGGCTGTGCATCTGCCTCCAAAAAGGTTTGCCTGCCTCCCAGGCCTCTCTAATTCACCCTGTACATTGTCACCTTACCTGTCTTCCTAAAACCAGATCCACTGTGCCCCTCCCCAGCTCAGGAGCCTGCAAACGCTTTGCAGTACCTGTGTAACAACTGGGGACAGGGGGTGAGGCCTTTTGGGTCTGAGTCCAGTGGATCTGGCTAATATCATCTCCCATCCAGCTCTGCTTCTGGCCACAGGCTGCATGCTCTGGCCTCCCTACGTTTGCATGTGTGGTCTCCTCTGACAAGAGAGCTTCTCTGTGCATTTGGGCACATGCAAAGCTTTTACCTTCTTCAAGGTCATCTCCCACTGGCAGCCTTCTCTGATTGCACCCAGCCAACCTCCTCCTGCCCAGAGAGCTCCCATAGGACTTTCCCAGGCCTCCCACTCAAGTGCCCTTCATTCCTGCCCTGTACTGTACCTCGCTGAGCAGTACATTCCCACTAACTAGACTGAGAACTCCTTGAGGCCAAACACTCCCAAGGCTTCTCTCACACCCCTTCCCTGCAGCCCCGAAGACCAGAGCCCCCAACCTCAATGCCACCGACCATTCCCTGCAGCCTCAGCACCTGCCCTGACTTCTGTGACACTTCTGCAAACTCTGCTAGGGATTGTCTCCCCCATCTCCCCTTCTCCTGCGGGATCTAGAGCCCGCCCAGTGCCTCCTCGGCCTGGAAGCCACCATGATCCTCCCCCCACAATCTGCATGAAGTCTCACCCTCCCGGAGACGTCCTCACCAGCCCCTCGGGGCCTATCCTCTAGGCTCGTGCACTCTCATCTCCACTCTCATCACCATAACGGAGCTGTCCATCTACTGCCCTGTCCTCTGTAGCAGCAGGGGCTCAGTCTGCAGCAGGGTTGCCTCCAGGCTCAAGAGACAGTGGCCAGTGGAGTGGGCCGACAGGAGGGAGGAGACCAGGCTGGCCGTCTCCTGCACGGACTCCTTGGCCTCGCGCTGGCTCTGGGCTGGGTCTTGGCCTTCAGGACGCCCCTCTTCCTCTTGCTTCTCCTTCTCACCCTGTGGTTGCT